TGTCGTTGTTGTTGGGTCCCCTGCTTTCTGAACTTCCGCTGTAATCAGACTGTCTGAGGGCGCTAAACCTCGCACTTAGTTAATTAGTAGCACCCCCAATTTGAGAACATCGCACCTGGCATGTCGGGTTGTTTGTAGCAGGGATCCCTTTGCACAGGCCATTCCTTTTGCGAGCCTTTGAGGCTTCTTCTTAAAGGGTTGAGGGTCTCTTCTTGAAAAAGGCCAGTTTTCAAGTAACGCGGAAACTGAAACTCTTCTAGAAAAAGGCCAGTTTTCAAGTAAACATGGAAGCTGACACGAACAGTGGCCACAGTCTCCAGCATCTTGCTGGTATCCTGATATTCGTGTTCCTTGTCTGAGGAGTTCGTGTGGATGGTCGAGGTGTGAAGGTTTTAATGCAAAACCCTGAAATCCTAAGCCCCCCAAACCTAAACCATAAGTTATAAAACCCTTAAAACCAAACCCTAAGACCCAAAAGTGCTAAACCCTAAAAGCCCTACAGTCCTAAACCTTATAGGCTCCAGCTATCAGGGTCTGCTCCAGATTCGGCTTTGGTTCAGCCAGGATCCCCAGTAGTTCCCTTTTGCCCTTTCTTTTTCTTTTTGGGTACCCTTATGAAGCCCAAATAGTAGGAAAAAGGGTGCAGTGCCCATAATATTAAGGGGCTACTAAGGGACCTAGTTCAAGATGCTGGTCACATCCCTTTCACACTGCTTTCCGCCCATGATGAGCATCTCAGGCCGTGAAGTCCTTCTGACCCCTACATCGTATGCTTCAGTCTGTATACGCGGTGCCGAGGCTCAAGTGTGTCCTATAGGCCCAGACGGCATTTGCTTTAGACGTAAAAGTATACAAGAACTTTCGAAGCCAGTCGTTTTGAAGATGTATTGTAAAAACCGGCAAGATAGCCTCTATAAAGCTTCAAGCTTTTGCTCATGATTGACCGTCCAGCTCACAAGTAGGAAGTTGTGTTGGGCCCACGTCACTCAGGAGCCCATGGTCTACAATAAATCTATGGTTGGGTCTAGGGTTTATGGTCTAGAGACTGAGGCATCGCAACCACAAGCGAGTCGTTCTTGTCTTGCTTTTATACTAGTGTCTTGCTATGGATGGGAGGATGCGGGTGTCTGTCAAGAGCCTCGTCGCAATGATGTTGGAGCTTGGAAGTCATCCGGGTTTAGGGATTCGGGTTCCGGGTTTCGGGTTCGAGGCATATTGGTGCCGGCTTGCGGATTTAAAGCTTTGAGGCAGTTGCTGGGGGAGGGTGTGGTAGGTCTTTTGCTATACCAGTTTGCGTTTTGGGGTGTAGTTAATCAGGACTCTCAGTCTTTCTCCTGCTTGGGAGTTGAGAATTTCTGGTCCCTTGAATTACATAACCAGGTGTCGTGTTGTCTTACGACAGACATGAGTCTCATTGTATAAATACTAGGGCCAGTAAAGGCGGCTCTGAACCTAAGTTTGAGGCTTTACTACTTTGTAATCATGTGTACTCCCTTTCAGCCCTTTCTGACTATACTATACCATAATGTAATGATATAATGTACCCCGCGGTTAAAGACCATAATGCAATGATATACCCCGACACCCCATTCTAGCGTTTAAGGCCTCCTTTTTCTCGCCTTAAGGAGGCGGTCCGGGCTTTCAGAGACGAGGTTTGGCCTTCACCCAACCGCGGTTTAGGGATGTTTAACCCGAAACCCCAAAACGCTTTAATGTGGGAACCTGATTAAGCAACCCTGGGCCTGTACCCCCAAAATAGTAGGATTCATATTTATGAATAACCCTAATGAAGGCCCAAGGTTTCTTGATCAGGTTCCTACATTACTATTACTACAGGAGCGCTTGAAACCTAGACCTCAAGCACCGAAGCCCAATGCCAGACCCTAAACCTTAAACCGCTTTATAGGAGGGACACGCAGTCTGAATACGGACAGACTTTCAGGTTTCCCAGGGGCCATGATACGATGAACCTGTGGGTTTTGGGGTCAGGGGTGTAGTGTGGTGTTTGGCATCTGGTTTAGGGTTTAGGCTTAGGGTTAGACGGTTAGACCTTACGCTTGAGGGATGAACCTACATAGGGGGTTGAATTGATTATCATTCAGGGCTTAGGGGGGACGGCAAGGCGAATGACATTGTTCTTGAGGTGAAAGCACTGGAAACAAATGTCGCTTCCAGCACACGCCGCCAACTTTTGTGCGGCAGTGGATTCCTCTGCCGAGTCACTGAACCCTACGGTAGGCCCTAAGTTCGATCTGGTATAAACGTTCCGGCTGATGGGCATTCATCCCTGAGCCCTACAAAGAAACAAAGAGAAACCTCAGGAATACCTTTATCACCTTCGACGACCCAGACGAGCGCCAGGACTGAACCCTGAACAGCTCGAAACCTGAAACCTTAACCTCCTATCCTAAACCCTAAACCCAAACCTCCTAAACCTGAAACATCCTAGAAAGATTTCTCTGTTCATGCTCCGTCTCTCCCCGCAAACCGCCCCCGGATGCTTGTGGCTTTTGGTTTCTGTTTAGTCACGTAGCCAATATATATATATATATATAGAGAGAGAGAGATTGCATAAACATATATATATATGTATGTATATATATATATATATATATAGATGTACATGTTACCTATGCGATTGTGTCAGGATGCTGGGTTGCTGGATTAACACCAATATAGTTTCGGAATCTTAAAGGGGTGCCGATGCGCTGTCTGCTGAGATACTTAGTTTATGAAGTTCCCAGGTATTATTGCAGAGACGGTTTGGGGTTCAGGGTTAGGGAAAAGACTGTACTATGCTGCGCCTGCGGCACCAAGATTCTGTCCTCAGGGGCATTATGACAAAACCCCAGCAGTGCTGAAGAGGAAGGAGTATTGCACAAGTCCCGTAAATCTTGCCCGCAGTATTTAACCCTTCCCACACACCGAACTTCACCAAACCCTGAACCTCGATGTGCAGATCGATCTCGGGTTAGTTGTGTAGGTTTTTTTTTTGGCGTGTTGGACTGTTGTTTCTGTTGAGGGGCCTCACCAGTTCCGACATGTGCCTCCTGAGTTCCATTCTCTTAGCAATTCGCCCTAAGCCCACTCCCAACATCAAGCCCACACCCACACATAATATAGGGGCCTTTATACTTGCCTACAATATTTTCGGGGTGCCCCTTGTAATTATAGTATAATATACCCCAAGCGAAACTCTAATTAGTAAGGCCTCTATCTTACTGTAGGGCCAGCAGCATGACAGGTGAGCCCAACCTCTTCGCCCAGTCTCATGTTTTCTCCCAGCCTGAGTGATCATTTTTCCGTAGGGTTCTGCACTATAGATGTAGTACTACAAAACATAGCCCACAGCCCCGTTCGAACTGTTACGGCTCTAGGCCCTACTGGTCGCAAGCTCGCCACCTTGCACTCATGAGGAGGAGCTGCCAGCACGAACCCGGCAGAGCCACTTGGGCCATGCTTAGAAGGGTCTAGTATAGGGGGACGAGAACATAGTTTGCGGGTGTATTCTTCTATCTCCATAATCATTGATATAATATGGACCCCCCCCAAAAAATGGTTGTGGTATGCTCTTAGGCCCCTAAATTAGCTGGACGAAAGTTCACATGCAGATGCCGAGGTGGTTCGGACCAAATTAGCAGAGTCCAAGCCCTCACTCAAACTGACTTCAACAAATTGAAAAACCTTGAAGCACCCTCAACCTTCAACCCCAAACTCGCGTACAGTCGAAGGCATCGCCTCCCCGCGTTCCCGGTCGGCGGAATGCAGCTCTCCGAGACGCGAGGAGGGCTAGCACCAGATACTGGCTTCGCAACGTTCGAACTTGGTTATACCGTTGATGATATATAAATCCTGCATTACCTGAAGGACCCCAAACTATGGGAATTATGGTATATTCCTTGTTATGGGTAGTGCAGGGTTTTTATCATCAACGGTATTGCTCATGATGATCCGCTTGTCATCAAGCAAAGCTTCCTACACGCCATGCACACATCCTAAGCAATATGAACATATATATATATATATACATATATATATATATATCACTATATATATATATATATATACATGTGTGTGTATTTGCGTGTGTCTGCATGTACGCACATACAATGCATGCATGCATACCTACCTACCTACCTACCTACCAACATACACACATGCATACATACATACATACATACACACACACACAAATGCGTGCGCGAGCGTGCATGGGCACGGATGCGGGTGCGCACTCATGCTGAAGCACGCGCGAGCAATGGCTCTTCCAGGAGGAATGCAACGATGACCAGATCGTGAGGCTGAACAAGGCCGGCCCTTCCGATTCTCTGATTTCTCCCACAAACTTGAGAACCCATGTGACTCGGGGAGCCTTATAGGGCTTTATAACGATCATGAACGAACAAAGCCTCTAGGCGACCCATCAATGAGCTTCAATGATCAAGTCACTACAAGTGAATAGGTATGTAAGCTTTGGAGTGGTGTGCTAGCACCCCAAACCCGGAACCCTAAAGCACTCGAAAATCTGAAACGCTGTTACCTTGGTCGGCTTCATTGCCTCGATTCTTCGTGTTCTTGCTTGAAAAAGGTGCTAGATACAGTATAAAAGTTACTGTTATTGAATATGCAAAACTCTATGCTGAACAGGGGCTGCGTTTGTTTGACGGTACAGTTTTAAGGGCTGAGCCTTTCTGAGGTAGCTAGTCACGTCCTTCTCGTGCTGGCGTTTAGACAGCAGGGAACTTTGGATTTTCCCGCCCACTCAACCAACTCGACCTCATGAATGTCAAGCTTTCAACCCTAAACCTCAAGCCCGAAACCCATAAGAGTCACATAATGCACAGGCTGACACACCACTAAAGCACTCAAAGACATAAAGCTGCGAGCCAGTAGGGCCCAAACGGACAGCACCCTCTAGACGACCGCAACGACAGTGTCCGACTCAAACATTTTGCAGGCAGGCAAGGGAGGCACCAGTTCCACGCCTCCTTCTGAGGAATATGCCCGCAGCTTCCCCCCATCCCCCACGCAGTCATTGCTCCTTTTTTCAAGCGGGTCTGCCGCAGCCTTCCTGGTGCTCGGTGTCCGAAGCAGCCAAATTTGCTGCAAATCCCCTCCCCCAAAACCCCCACCACCCCGGGCCCTTGCAAGGCTGCAAGGGGCACCAGACTTCAAGCTGCGTTTCCCGTGATCCTGAACAGGTCTTGGATGGAGATCAGGAGACACTTCGCGAGATCCGCTCGCCTGTGGCATCGCCGAACCTGGGGACCATTCCTGCAGTTTGGCTGCAGTTGGGGTACCGTGCCCCCTTAACTGAGACCGGCTTACATTCTGAAAGTCTCCAAATATGAGAATCCTGGTCGAAGTAACTAGGCCTCTATCCCGTCCGCAAACTTAGGGCTTGATCCTTTACTCTGTGGCTTCCAGCTTTTGAAACTTCGACGTCCTCACCGATACTCGCACACTACTGCTACATACTGCTACCATCACGAAGAACCACCATAACCACCACAACCTGTTAAAACAACCACCACAACCGCCACCGTCATCACCATTGCCATACAGACTTTATGGTTACCTAGACTATTTTGGGTGTTCCTTACTATAATAAGAAGAATCGTGTAATATACCCCAAATCTGAGGAGTGACAGAGAGGGAACTTCGGCGAAGCTGAGGTGCCTGGCTTCGAAGGTCCTGGGCGAGTCCGCGCAGACAGCTTCCGGGCAGAGTCACAGGAGTTCGGGTCTGCAGGTGTAACAGTTGTACGTGACCCGATGGGGCTCGAATAAGGGTGGAAATGGCGAGTTTTTGAAGAATTAGGATTGCTGTTCTGGGTTTTTCTCATTGGTCGGTCTCTTCTTTCGGAGTCATCCTACTAAGCGTCTTACTGCTTGGGTTTTCCTGAACTTCGGGCTTTATGGCCTTCATGTTTCTATGGTGGGGACTTCTTCACCAGGGATTTCCGAGGACTCGGTTTCCCTTGCTTGGGGTCCATCGAAGTAGGGTCTAACCACTCCCACAGCTAGTTGCGCAAGCTGAGATAGGCGCGGGATTTGCGGTTTACCGCCCCACGTTCGGTAAAGGGCAATCCTGTATCCGGATCTTCCCTTTTGCATATGGGCGTGTTGGCTTTCCTTGAATTTGCTTTCGCTAGAATGATGCGGTATACATGGGTCTGCCTGTCCTTCTAGCTTGAGTGGAGGGAGTAGGCCTCAATCCTTTAGCTTTTGCTGTTCAGAGGTCCTTCAACCCTAAACCCTAAACCTCAGGGAGCAGATCGTCACTCTCGGAAAAGCTTGGGAGGGCACTTCAGATGCAGATCTACGCCATTGGCCCTGAAAATCCTGTGACCCGGACTACTGGCCACAGTGGCCTAAGGCAACCGTAGAGGCCCGGACTCGTTATCAGAAACCCTACGGCTGCTTTCTGCTACTTTGAACAGGTTTACTTCAACTTAGATATCCTACAACCAAGGCCGCGAATTCTACTGAGGCATTACGAGGGTTAAAGGTGTAGGGGTTAGACTGTTAGGGGTTCAGTGCTTAGGATGTTCGGGTTTAGGGCGATGGGTTTAGGGTTTCGGATCCTGGGGTTTTCAGGTCTATAGGGCTAAGGGCTTAGAGATGAAGGGACTTATTGTTAAAAAGGGACGCCCCGCACTGTGGAAATATGCGAGGCTACGCCAGCTCCGGCATGGCAACGCCACCCGGAGAGGTTGTTGGAAGCCCAACCACGGTGCAGCACGTGGGCCCCAGCCCACAAGAATTGAGGCCACGTGCTGTTTGTTGGTGGCCGCTTTCTCGGGGTTGGACACGTGTTTGGGTTTTAAGGTCGGTGATTTTTGCCAATACCAATACTAATAAGAAGACAAGTATTTAATACAAGCATTAATGCCAGCACCATTTCCGACACCGAAACCAATAGCGCAAGTAACTAGCTCTAAACGAAACGTTGGGGGTTTGTGTTGTAGTATTCCCTTACACTAAAACGACTATTAATGTTCACACTGGTGTCTAACATTATAGTGCTGTACTATTCCGCACCATACCACGCCATGCCATACCAGGGAGCAAAATACTATACTAGACTTACTAGACTGTACTATGCTGCTGTGCTGTACTGCACCGTCGTACACGGATTTAGACTGTATGCTATATATTCCACACTACCGACGACATACTACATGCAATATGCGAAAGCTGCAGGCTACGTAGTACACATTTTTCTAATATAGACACTGTTTATAGCATACCTCTTATGTAAATACTGTATTGTAGATACGATATGAACTGTGTACGTTGAAAGCAATGTTCCCCAACTGCGGTTTTCCGTACTTGCAATGCTTGAGAGAAGCGTTTTGCCGGGCCATTGGGTTGGCTTTTGTTTCGCATGGTTTAGGGTTTAGGGTTTAGGGCATCACTTGATATGGGACATGGTTGAGGCTTTGAGTTTAGGGCTGAGGGGATTTGGTAAAAGAAACCCATACATGCGAACCAGGGAAGCTGTGGCAGTCTAAGGTGGGCCTGTTTAACCCCAAACCCTAAAATTTACTTAGGACGTAACCCCAAACCACAAAACCCCTAAGCCCTGAACCCCAAAACCCCTGAACCTCCTAAACCGTAAGTCTTAAGTGTCTTAAGTGCCTGCGTGGGAGGCAGCTAAAACAGCGCCTGGAGGTGGTCGATCCGTAATGAGTGAGGTTTAGGCTCTACAAGCTTTAGGCTCTGGCGTACACTCTAAGCTTTAGGCCTGGGGTAATTACAAGGTTCAGGATTTCAGACTTGTTGTTTAGGATTTTGGTTGCAGCGATTTCTCGCTTTAGGGTTCAGGGGGTTTTGAGCTTCTAGAGAGCCACATTCGGACCGGCGTAGGGCAACGCTGAAATAGGTCCGGCCCAAACCCAAGACACTCAACTCTAAACTGTGAATCTTAATCCCAAACCAGTCAGAGAATCAGTGTCTACAGCATCTTCCGGGGTCCTGAAGTCTTCGGCTCAGAGTATATTTGAGGATCAAGGGGTGTAGGGTTTCAGGGGTCAGGATTCGGCTTCAAGCCCAAAGGTGTGTGCTTGAACGGTTCCAAGGTTGAGGGCTTGATGCGGTCGGCTTAGGTTGTGGGGTTTTGGATGGTTGTTGAGAGCCACATTTCAACAGAACGTGTGAGGGCCCTGTAGTTCAGGAGTTTGGTAGTCTCTCCGAGTGTCGTTCCCAGACACGAGACGCAAGACCACGGCATGGCTAGTGCAGCAGCTCGCATCCTAACCTTGACATTCACACTTAGCCAATACGGCCAGACAGCATCTGCAAGTACCAATACCTATTCCGGGTCGACTCTACTGAAGAAAGGTTTGCAGTACAAGGTCTCGTTTCACCACACCAGCGCATGACCCTAGACGTGAGCAAGATCAGAGGCAATGCGAATTGCATGGTCTCACTATGTCTCACTTTAACGCACTTGGGAGACCTTGCAAACCCGTCGAAGCAATATCAAACCAGCCTTGACCCTTGAATCCTGAACCCGAAATACACCGCCAGGAGGTTTGCCACCGTGGGGGCTACCCGACTGCTCAGGGAAGGCTGCAAAGGGCCTCCTCGAGCCCTTCTGCCGGCCTTCAGAGGTTTATAGGGGTCCTTTACGCTTTTGGGTGGGTATTGGGGGTCCTAGTCCTATTCCGAGTACTACTGCTACTGCTACTACTACTACTACTACTACGACTACTACGACTACTACGACTACTACGACTACTACTACCACTACTACCACTACTACAACTACTACTACTACTACTACTACTACTACTACTACTACTGCTCTTTTAGGGTTTTTGGAGCTTTGGAGCTTGGGGTTTAAGGCCAAGGTTGAGGGACTATGGGCTTAGGGTCTCGTTTCAGGTTTAGGGTTTAGGGTTTAGGGTTTAGGGTTTAGGCTTAGGGCCTTTGCAGCTGAATTAGGGGTTTTAAGGTTTAGGGTTTAGGGTTTAGGGTTTAGGCTTAGGGCCTTTGCAGCTGAATTAGGGGTTTTAAGGTTTAGGGTTTAGGGTTTGCCTCCTCGAGCCGTTGTTTTGCCGGCCTTTAAATGGTGTGTAGGGGGGTGCGTTAAGGTTTCCTTTCAGGGGTCTTGGGGGGGTCCTTTAAGGGTCTTTTTTAGGGTTCCTTTAGGGGGTTTCTGGTGTATTGATTTTTCTGCTTAGGGTTTTAAGTTCACGGTTCGAGGTTAGGGTGTAAGGTTTAGGGTTTAGGGTGAATCGTGGAGTCTTTGGGCTTGAACCCCGTGCACGGCTTGGTTATGATCTTTAGGTGATGGATTGGCTCGTAGTTCTTGGAGGGCTTGCGCTTTTCCGGTTGAGGGTTGCAGGCGTCAGTCTGCAGGGTTGATGATTTCGGCCCCGTGATGGGTGAGCTGTACGGACTTGCCGAAGTAAGATGTTGTGGAAGATGTCGCCGGCTGGCATGGGTGGTATCCAGGTTTGGTTGAGTGCTATGGACGAGGAGTTAATTCCTTTGTGGCGGGGACTGGTCTGTCCCAAACTCTCATGCGTAAACTCTAAGACCCTGAACCTCACGTCACGTAGGTCGAGTAGGTGCAGTGACTACTTCTTTCCAGTGACATGTTAAAACATGGGGCCGATGCAGTTAATATAATGACGGGCCAAGGGTTTCAGGGCTGAGTGTTCAGCATGGGGCCTAGGGTATGTATGTATGTATGTATGTATGTATGTATGTATCTATGTATGTATGTATGTAAATATATATATATATATATATATATATATTTATATTTATATTTATATATATATATATATGTATGTATGAAGGGTTCTGCACATGTTGAAATCCCCTCGGCTGGGGCTTCTGACCTCAGAGGCTCAGGGAGATCCATCCCGAACCTTTAATGCCTGAACCTCGCGGTCGCACATATCTGAGCTCTCCTCCCAACGGCAAACGCTTGGGTGCGAAAAGTTTGAAATCTTAGAAATCCCCTAGTTTGTCATAGTTGGGTAACATTATACATTTTTATGGGTACTTAAACCCAATAAGAATAAAATTGTACATTTTTAAATCCTATCCCAACAAAGAACTAGCCTAGCACTGGCTTGATCCATGTTGGAGACACAGGAAGGACCGCCCCCGCAACGCAATTGGGCCAAAGTCCAAATCCCCTCCTAAACATCCCCATATCCTAAACCCCGATTCAAAGCCCCCAGGCAGATGATATATAATACATAACATTGAAAACCGAATATCTAATATTTAATATCTAATATCTAATATCTAATATCTGTACATATACATATACATATACATATATATATATATATATATATATATATGACAGTTTTCATAGTATAACACATCCACTGAGGCGGCTCTTTCTGGAGTGTCGGGAGTGAAGTTACCGACGCGGACGGCCATCCGCCCGAGGGGATGCGACATGTGCGGTCGAACGGTTTCCTGGCTCAAGCTTACGGGTTTGGTAGGTTCAAGGGTTTAGGGTTCTAGGGTTTGGGGTTAAGGGTTTTGTCTAGAGTCTTAGGAGTGTAAAGATTGGCATCAATGCTCCGAATCTGACATCTCAAACCCTAGTACTAGAAGCTTGAAATCCATCATGTCTCCCAGTGGCCGAAGTGCAACGTATACCGAGTATCATTGGGCTTGAACCCTTGTCCCCTGAATCCTAAAACCTGAATCATGAACCCTAAGTCCTAAACCCTGGGTGGAAACGCCACTTTTCCGATTCTTCGCGAGACGGACAAAGGTCGTCCCAAAATATACTAGGTGCAGAGGGTGTAGATATAGGGGCCTAAAAACAAAAACCATTACTGTTTTGGTGGTTCCTTATATTAATCATAGTATAATGGGCCCCAAAACCCTATTCTAATTGCTAAGGCACCTATGTTAGATACACGGGCAAGGTAGCCTCCGTCAGTTTGAGTCTCTGCTTGTGAGCTTGGAGTTGGCTGGTGGAAAATGCCTTTATGAAGCCCAAAATGGAAGCCCTTCCCTCTTGGGGGTTCAGGGGTAGTTATAAGTGGGGTTACAAGTTCCTTAATATGAGTCAGAGCTATAACCTTGTAACCCTATCTATAACTAACCATGGACCTCCAGCTTGGCGGGGTTTAACCTTTGGAGGTCCTGGCGGTAGTGGAACTTGAAACCAGAGGTGGCTTAGGTTCTGTCAGGGTCTATGTGGCTAGTTGTCAAAATTAAGGTCCCTTTTGGGTACCCTAAATATTAGGTGCCGTATTATAACAAGGACCCAAAAGGGGAGCATTCTGTTGACAACCACTCATGTGGCTGAAAGTGTAGGTTCTGGTTTGTTTTGGCAGCCGATGTCCAACTGAACATATGCCAACTGCAGAGTTCACGGCAACCTGTGAATTAAGGGTCTTAAACAGGCGGTCAGGGGTATACGGTTTAGCGGCTTAGGATTTACGACTGCCTTCGTGCCCAGGATCTGTCAGCAGCATCACCACTTTCGAGGCCACAGGGGGGTTTTGTAAATCGGTGGAGGACAGGCGAGGTCCCCGCCGTAACTCGAACTGTGTCAGAACATGATTTCTTTGGGGTCTCTCCTGGCTTTCAAGGGAAGTCGCCCCAAGCCTGCGAAATAGGAATCACCCCGCTCACAAACCCCCTCCTTGGACTCTGCACGCTACATGTCTCGACCTAAAGCCAAGGGCCATATACCGCAAGCCTCAACGGGCCGAAACCTCAAGACCACCCTAAACCCTAAAGCTCTAGACCCTGAATCCTCAAACCCCAAGCAGTCAAACTCTGAACCCAAGCCCTGACAGCCCGGCTTTGCAGGCCAACCGGTCTCGGGCATGTTCTTTCGGATCCATCGGTACCTCTGCAGCACATGCTTTCGGCTCGGTCTTGCCTGAGAGTCTGGTCCTGATATCAGTTGTAATTCTGCTAGAGAACGGGGGGTCTCTAAGTAGGGTTTGAGGTGAGGGGTGGTTCGGATTTTGCAAGGAGTTTGAACTGACAATGCGGCTCCCATCCTCAAGCAGCCCGATGTCTAACTTTGTGAGCCTAGGCACTTCTGTGAGGAGGCCTGTGGGTTTAGGGGCTCTCGTACATAAACGTAGGTTACTTTGTCTGATTCATGGCTAGACCCTGCGATGCAGTTAGTGGTGGTTTCTTCCTTGCAAAAGGATCCAGACCATCAAAACAAGTCATACAAAAATGTCATAAAATCCAGGATAGAGTCTAGCTAAGCACCACACTCTAAACTGAACCTTAAATAGGGCTCGTCTAGAGTCCAAAGCACCCCTAAAGCGCCAACAAACCCCAGAAACCTAAAGCAGCGCAGCAGGCGCTCAAAACCTGAAACCAAGCGGCCAAAGATTCCAGACGTGCCGACACTGAATCCAGACATCCGCGAGAACCCGAACAAGTGCCTGTGAACCCTATACTCTCTAAGCCTTTAAGACCGCAAGCCCTACCGCCGTCATGGTAAGTCTAAAATCCTTGAAACTCTATAAACCATCAGCACTAAAAGCCCCTTGCCATAGAGCCCTTCTCTTGTAGAAGCCCAATAGCCCTACATCCTAAACCGTAGGTCCTAAACCCTCAGTCCTACACCCTAAACCCTCTCAATCCCTAAAGCGCGGACTAGCCGCAAAAAACGAGCGAAGTCGAGGCTCAATGGGCCGCGATGACGGCGACGGCGATGGCGAGCCAGTAGAGTTTGATCTTCACATTGTGGAGGTGCCCCGGACAACTTTTAACATAGGACTTCGTAACGGATATACATGGATATACTTATATTAAACATATCTACTATGCCAAATATGCATATATAAGAGCCAGATTCCTGTAAAGCCGCTGATGCGAGGATCCGGAGGACGGCACGTGCCACGAATCGAGGCTGGGAGGGCTCCGGGGAGGAGGTGGGGCGGGGGGGGGGGGGGGGAAGGTGCGTTTTGGGTTTGGGGGGCTTTGGGGTTTAGGGTTTAGGTTAGAAGCTGCCCTCACCCTGTTATAGTGACCCTGTTATAGTGACTATAAGGATTAGATTAGGGCCCTATTATATTCCTATTATACCACTATTACAGGGTGGGGGCCCCTTCTAAGGTTTAGGGGTGTCTGAGGCTTCGGGTTCAGATTCGAGGCTTAGGACTTTCGCTTTGGCATGGGTTGCTGTGATTGCTCGGCTGAGCTCGTAGGATCCTGACATTATGGTTTTTTACCCTGACGACCTGAGGCTGGGCATTTGAGGACGGGCGTCCTCTGTCCTCCACTGAGCTCTTTTAACCCGCGCCAACCCGCGACCTGATAAAGCTCGAAGATTCGGGGTGCCTTCTGGATGGCTTTTTTAGTCTTGGGCTTTGCGTTGCAATGTAGATTTCGGAGATCTGTTGCTTTAGTCCCTAATGCCTGCAACTGATTGTAGCTTTCGGAGTAGGGTAGTCGGATTTTGGACTTCTCCGGATGTCGCAATTCGGCCGATAGGTCTCGCCAGTGCCACGGCGACCACCGATCCGATCAGCGGCAGAGCCACGACAAATCCGGTTGCTTGGCTGTGCTCAAGTTCAGGGATGTTCAGGGTTTAGAGTAAAGTTTAAGAGATCTGTGCAACGGGCACGGAAGATTTAGCTTGAGAGAACATCAGCGGGGCTCGGGCTCGATGTGCTCACGCATGGAAATCGACGACCTTGCACATGTGAAGCAGAGAAGAAGGGCCTCGTTCATGGGAACGGTAGTATAGACAGACAGCAGCCGCATTGTACTCCCAACTGAGGGGCTTGGGGTCAAAGATCAGGCAGGGTTGAGGGCCCAAGACGCTAATTGGATAGGGTGCGAGTTTCTAGTCAGTTATTGTTATTGTTAGAGACAGTCTGGCTTTGTCTACCAAGACAGACATCGGCTGATGGCAGGGGTCCCACTATGGCTCCCATTAGGCTCCTGTTTTTAGGAATCATGTCGGTTTGGGTTGGATACTGCTCCCACGTAGCCACAGTCGTATTCATATGTTTACTCTAGATGGACAAGGCCCTGAATAGCAGCCCCAATGCAGGCTGTTACTGATATCGTAAGCAAGGAAGTTTCTAAGCAAGCCTGCTATGGGTGTATCTACGCATGCATTGGTGGGCATCAGTGTCCGGCTTTGGGCCTGGCTCTAGCTGTTCACCGCTTCTACAACAGCCTGCACCGACATGGCCCAAGACGTTGCCGCTAAACCCTGCACCCCGTACCCTGACTCAAGCCTGTATGCACTACGAGATCTCGCTCCTTCATTCCGAGCCCACGTGTGCAAGGCAAGGTGGCTCGGTCTCGTCGCCCACGATCTCGCGAGGCCTTTTGCCTATCTCGCTTCTGCTTCCAGTTGCTTAGGGTGTTGTAGTGTGTAAGGGTTCTAAAACAGTTTCTGCGAGGATAGCATCGGGTCTTGGTCCGGGCCCCACAAGTTTGGTTTAAGAGGGGTGGTCCGGGTTTTTGACTTTGGCCGGTCGCATTGCTCCCAAACCGTCGGATCTAAACCGTAAGCTCCTGAACCCCACAGCCTCTAAACCCCTCAACTCCTGATTTCCAAGAGCCAAACCCCTCAACAAATAAAACCTCCCCCTAAACCACTATAAGGGCCTAAACTAACTGATTACCTATACTATTTTTGGGGTTCCTCATTACAAGTACAGTATATGGGCCCCCCAAAACCCCATGCTAATGATTAAGGCCCCTAAACCACAAAACCTCGACTGCTGTGGAGGCAGCCAAGGCCCCGAGAGAACCCGGACGCCAGAGCCAGGCACGACGGGATCCGAGGGGTTTAGGGCCTAACTTAGTAGCTGAGTGGATACACTGTACATTTTTTGGATAATACTACCCACTATAAAACTAAAAGTATACACTTTTCTGGGCTTGTGAACTCAGCACCGAAGCTAAGGTTAAGTGCTCAGGGTTTGGGTCTTCGGGCTTAGAGCAAGATGGTCAAAGCAGACTTGGTGCCACCCTTTCGTAAGTTACCAGTTGGTGAATCCCTATAGTGGCCGTGAACAGCAGCTCTCAAACAGAAGCTCAGGAAGACCTCCAGTAAGTCCCCCCTCCCGCCCGCGACCTACCCTCAAAGCCCTAAGCCCAACCAGCAAGATTTCATCTACGACCCAACCCGAGATCTGCAAGCAGGAAAGACAGTTGGCAGGACCGATACCGGTCGGTTTGGTGGTGGCTTGGCAGAAACCACTAAGCTGGAAGCCCCTTAACCCTTCACACATGAAGCCTAAAAGCCTAAACCGTTTTAAACCCAAAGCCCTTAATGGGGACGCCTACCCTTTTATGTGCTTTTTAATGGGTATATGCTAGCTATATTAAGGGTATATACCTAGGGGTCCTTATTAAGGGTCCCCTTCTAAGCCCAGCAGCCCGGGCTGGTGTGTTCAAAGTGAGAGCTTACGGCGTACAATTTAGGTCTTCAGGGTATCGAGAAATAACATGGCTGTTGCAACAGCGATGATGCTAGTGATCCCCACGACATTCCCCTTCCGTGCTTTCGTCATCCTTCAGACCGAACGAACCCTGATGCGGACATGCATGAGACCGTTCATGCATGCATGTTTGCTATGTAGCTACAAGCAGGGGGCGGCAGTAGGCAGGCAGGTATGTGTGCAGAAATTATCTTTCTGTATGTACGGGTGCACGTATGTGTTTGTGTTTGTGTGTGTGTAAGTATGTATGTATGTACGTATGTATGCACATATTTATGTATATATGTATGTACCTATGTGTCTGTAACCGCACAACTCTACGGATGTTTCGAATTCTAGATAAACACACACACGCACACACACACACACACACATTCTACTGAACACAAGAGCAATATGCGAATGGTATCCTGCTTGACCGCATGTCTGACCCCAACTGCAAGTCTGGACGCCATAACACCATGCCCCGATCTTGGACCGAACGATTCTCAGTCCCTGAACCATGTCTACAAATCTTAGATGCTGCAGTCCTGCAATTCTAAGTATTTCGTTCTAGAATCCCAACCGCCCAACCGCCTGAAGAAGCACACTCGTAACCCCTCAAACCATAAACTGTTGGACCCCGCCCACGTGTGAAACCGCCGAATTTTCATGTAAGCTTATTCACAAATAACCGTACGACAACCCTGCAGAACACCCCTATTAAGAGCGCTTTCAGATCGTGTCAGCCCGAAGTTTCTGAAAACTCCAAGGACTCTGCCGAGAGCAGCCCAACGGCTTCGCCAAGCCCACGAGAGAAGCTTCCCATCACGAGGCTGTTTGGGGTCGAGTGTTGAGGGCTTCGGGTTTGGGGTTCCGGGCCCCGAACCCCACAGTATTAGGGAGCAAAAACCGCAAACCTTTAAATCCTAAAGCCTAAAGTCCTAAAGCTCCATGGCCAGAAAGCCGTAAGATGCTAAAACCTTGAAGCCCTAAATCCTAGAATCTCCTAGAACCTTCAAAACCATTAAACCCTAAGCCTTGAAGCCCTAAAACCCCCAAAACCCTGAACCCTAAGACACAAAGCTTGAAAGCCTAAACCCAGCAAACCCTGAACGCCTAACCCTGAGAACCAAACATCTTTGGAGGAAGGGAAGCGACGCCTCGCAATGCTCCGGTTGTTCGAGCCCCACGGGAGACAAGTCCGCAGCAGGCCCAATGAGGGCTTGTTTAGGGATGTGTTGTTTTTTTTGTTCACGTCGGTTTTAGGGTTAGTGGCCTATCTAAGGACTATGTGGGTGGAAGGCTTTTTCGAGTTTAAGATTTTGTTCAGCTTATTGTTGACTGCTTAGACTTCTTGGGTTTGGGGGGAAAGAAGTTCGCTTCAGGCCTTTGGTCAGTGTCTTGCTCGGAGGCCATAAGCTTGTGCAAGGGTTCGGGTTGCGAAGTCAAGCTAATTACGCGATCTTTGGATGGTTGAGACCGTGGCTGACATTGGTGAAAACTAAAACGTTTAGGCTTCAGGGCATAGGTTTGTAGGCTTTATGATGCTGATGGTGCCGATGGGACAGGATGAGAGGTGTTGGGTCCGTCGGAGCTTGTTGAAGGACTTCAGCTGCATGCATAGTTGCACAGCACGTGGCATCCCTTAACTAAGAAATCAGGAAGCAAGGCAACTCCTGTTGTGCACCCTATAGGGGACCCTATTTTTTTTAGCACTTTTTTTTTTTTTTTTGCCCTTTTTTTTTTTTTGTTGGCCCCGCCGCGGGAAGGAAGGAAGGAAGGAAGGAAGGAAGGGGAAAGGAAGAAGGAGGGAAGGAGGGAAGAAAGGAAGGAAGGAAGTAAAGGAGGCAGGCAGGCAGGGAGAGAGGGGCCCTGCCGCGGGAAGGAAGGAAGGAAGGAAGGAAGGACGGAGTGTGTATATATATATATATAGTATATACAGTATGTGTAGTATAAACGGTGTATACAGTATGTATGGTAGATGTAGTAGATATAGTACATATATATAAATACATAGTATATATATATATAGTATATATATAGTATATATATATAGTATATAAAGTATATATGTATATAGTATATATATATATATATATGTCTGGTATATATATCGTATATATAGCATATACGGTATTTTTATATATATTATATATATAGTCTATATATATAATATGTATATATAATGTATATAGTGTGTATATATAGTATATATATAGTATAAGTAGTATATATAATATATATAGTATATATAGTATATATAGTATATAAAGTACGTATATAGTATATATAGTATATATACTATATATAGTATATATAGTACATATAGTATATATAATATATATATATATATATATATAGTATATATAGTATATATACTATATACAGTATATATAGTATATATAGTATATATAATCAATATGGTATATATAGTAAATAAGAAGGAAGGAACAAAAGAAAGAAATCAATAAAGAAAGAAAGAAAGAGAGCCATGCAAGAACTAGAGAAATAAACAAATAAAGGATGCTACAAGTAAAAAAGAAAACAAGAATAGAGAACTAAGTAAATAAAGAAAGCTATAAGGTAAGAACAAAGAAAACACAAGGGAAAGAACCAAAGAGAGTTAGAAACAAAAACAAAACAAACAATGAAGAAATAACCAAAGAACAAAAACAGAGAAATAAAGAAATACGGAAGGCCATAAATTAATAAAGACAATCAGAAATAGTTAAAGGAACAAGAAAGACGCGGAAAATAAAGAAGAACGATACGTAAGACTATCGCTTCATTGTGCTTTTTTTGCCCTGGGTCCTAGGGGTGCGACGCTTAAATCGGCTTGACGCAGTTTCAGCGAGAACTAACGTCGCCCCGGAAGAAACAGCGAAGGAAGAACAGAAAGAACACGAGTACACAAACGAAAACGTAGAAACTACTTATGCTTTGCCTTACTCAGTCCACTGATCCTCCACGTCAGCAGCATTTCCCCTTGCCCTGGCGCGAAACCGCAGCCATGGCTTCTAACTACAAGCACGTCGCGCCCGACAACGACGAGGAGACCTGATCCTGAATCCCTAGAACTGAAGCGCTAAAACCAGAAAGCCGTTAAACCCTGAACCCTGAAGCCTAGACCCTGGCAAACCTTGTCAGTGGAGGCTTGCAGTATGGGAACCTTAGTCAGAGTGCAATGACCTTAAACCCTAAACCCAAAAACCCTGAAGCCTAAAACCCCATTAAATTTGGCAGTGGTTTATCGTTTGTGCTTACGTTTGTTCGAGATCTGATCCATAGTTTCGGATGTCGTTCTTTTTCTTGCTTAACTTGTTTTGATGCTTGGATCCTATGATACTTATAAATTTGGGTAAACCAGCAAGGACTTTGCAGTGACGCCACCAACAACAACACTACTAGCCAAGGGAAGGAAGACAGGAAGAAATAAATCACGAACAAATCGAAAAATAGAAAGATAAACGGAAAGAACCAACCACAGAAAGACAGACAAGGAATGATCGAACGAAATACAGAACGCAAACCCAAAAAAACACAAGGGAATAAGAACAACACAGTAAGAAAGACAGAACAATCACGCTGAATGGCTGCAATTGCCGTATTTTCATTTTTTGATCCTTCTTTGATTTTTGTTTGACCCTCGGGTTTTTTATCCCTACAACTAGAACTAAAACTACAACATACTACACCTACAACCACAACGCCAACAACAACAACACTACTAGCAACAACTACACCACGAAATCCGTCCTAAATGCGAAATTGTAGGAAAAATTTGATTTTCCCGAGGAATAAGCTAGGTAACGTATGTTTTCCTTCGGAAAACCTGAAGAAATGCCACGAACGCCGTAGGTAATAGGAAAATAAGTTTTTTTCCTAGGAAAAACCAAAGAAAACTTAGAGAAATACAACGGAATCCGTAGGAAAATCGTGTTTTCCCCAGAAAAAACCAAGCAAATCCTTAGGAAACGAAAGAAATCCATAGGAAAGCAGTGTTTTCCCTTGGAGATTCCTGTGGAAATACAGAAAATCCCGAGAGAAGAGCTGTTTTTCCTGTGCAAATACAGAGAACCCAGGAGCCCAGGGCAGGGAAAAAAAAAAAAGGGCCAAAAAAAAAAAAAAAAAAGGGCAAAAACAAATTCTCCACCCACCCTATATATAGGATCGTCCCTAAACGATCCGATCCTTCTTGCGGAGCCATTGAAAAGGGGAAGAGGGGGCTGGGCCAGCTCTAGTTTGCATTTCCATTCCGTGATCCCTACTGTGCATGACATAAACCCTGCATTACCTTAAGGACTTCAAAACTATGGGAATAAGGGTATATTCCTTATTAGTAATGCAGGGGTTTATATCATCAACCGTATGTCAAATCCTCCAACATGAACCCAGGCGGTGCCCCACTAAGTACTTCTTCGCTGGCTGCCTCGAAGTTAAGCAGTTCGGTATATCGTGTCGGGCATGCCTTCACTGGGCTCCTGTTAAGGAGTTTACTCTAATTTAAGTTACCGCAATAGGGATCTCTAGTCACTGTAGTCAATTGTGGGGTTTCTTTACTATGGTAACTTTGTTAATTCCTTAACAAGAACCCAGGTGATTCTTAGTCTGTTGTGCCAGTTATGCCCCTGAGTGAGATGTTCGGCGGGAAACCCAAGCTGGCCATAGCGACGGAAACCCCTAAGCAGAAAAGAACCCTGTCAACCCTGGAAATCGAAATCCTGCACCCCTCAAAAGTTCAACTCCTAAAACCCGAAACTTTATTATACCATAGGAACCGAAAGATTGCAGGCCATGTCCGTCTCAAGCACCCGTTCCGCCAACAGGGCGCGCGTGGCAGAAGGAGTATCGCCATTCACTTGTGCCCAAGAACGTCAACCTGGAGGCAGCCGCTGGCTGCACCTAGTGGGAAGCATGGCAGCTCCTGAAACAGGAACCCTTTGCTTATTAATGCTATTATTATTATTATTATTATTATTATTATTATTATTGTTATTAGTATTATTATTATTACTATATTATTATCATTATTATTGTTATTATCATTATTATTATTATTATTATTGCTATTATTATTATTATTACTATTACTATTATTATCATTATTATTATTCAAATTAGTATTATTATTATTATTACTATTATTGTTATTATTATCATTAGCTTTTTTTTTGCAGAAGGCAACGTGATGCAGAATGCGAAGATAAATGCTTCTGTGGTCTTTGGGTCCTGCAGTCTCTCAACATGTTGCATCAGAAGAGTACGGATCTTTGATCCGCAGTGATTGAGACCGTCCACTAAGGTGTAATAGGCCCAGTTGGAATTGGAGCCATCCGTCCGACACGCACAGAACGAACCTTGAACTGCCTGAACCCTCATGAGCCTCTAGGGCTCCTACAGCAGAAAGCCCAATACCCCTTAATTAAGCAATATACCTTAAATTAGAAGGGGGCGCATAATATGATTTAAGCCATATTCCTTCATTAAGGGGTATTGGGCTCTCGGGGTGGAGGCGATTGAGGTTGAAGCCCGAAGCCCTAAACCCTGGATCCTTTTCATCAACACCGTTTCTGCAAGGCTACGCAACAGGGCGACCAAGAGATCACGACTTTGATGTCCCGGCCTCGGTGTGCACAAGAACATGGAGCCCAGATCAAACAGTTTCGGCTGACGGAATTAATTCTTCAGACCCCTAATTAACTCACTACTGTGACTTGAACACGCAGAAGCGGAACAGTATTCCTTCACGGTTGCTTTGTTCATTGATCGTATAGACATCCCCACAACCACAACCTTGGTTCTGCTCCCTTGGCATGCACCTGTGGAGATCCCGTTCACGACCCGATCACAATACTCCCTATTGTGCACAAGGCCATGTGTAAGAGACGAAATGTCGGGGCCTCCCAAAGCTTTGAAGTAAGGAGCTTTTCACCTGCACATTTATGATTTATCGATAACGATGTCGAAATGAAATGGACATGGATAGAGACTGATAGATACATAAATAGACGGATAGGTTATAGTTGTCCAGACAATGGCAGACATATAGGCAAGGATATATAACTAGATAGATAAACAGATACACAGATAGACGGATAGACAGAGACAGATAGACAGATACGAGGGGCTTAGGGTTTAAGGGGTCATACGAAGCCTTGAAGAGCATGAGAATACTCCTTACGCTAAGAGCGCTTGGACTTGTTGGGGTTCTAGTGTTGTTCCTTTTGGTACTTAGAATTGCTTTTTTAATTTTTGGTTATTATAATCCCTAAGAAACAGCTAAGATTGTAATCTTTGCTAGGGTTCTAAGTTCAGTATAGGTTAATTTGCTGCTTTACGTGGAGGGTTTCGGCGTCATCCCAGGCTTCTCCCAATCGTTCCAATAATAGCACATCCAGAGTTTGGTGCCTAGGTCTTCGGAGTTGGTGTGTTTGGGCCGAAAACAAAGGGGTGCCACAGCGTCGGATAGTGAGATTTTGGGTTATAGGGGCTTCAAATGTTGGAATTCCGCAATCTCTTAACCCCTCAACCCTAAACCCCCAAACACTCAGTTGCATAATATGTATATATATATATATATATATATACATATACATACATGTATATGTACATATATACATATATCCACCAGGATCCGCAACATTCCGAACCGCTACTCGCAGCGCGACCTTATCGCGGAGCTTGAAGACATGGGCTACGTTGGCAGCTATCATCTTTCCTGGTGTTTGGGGCTTCGCATCCAGGGTGCGTGTGTGCCGTGAGTATCTGTGTATATGTATGTAATTGCGTATGTCTGTTGTTATGGGCGTATGTGTGCAGGTGTGTGTGTGTGTTGTGTATGCGGGCATGTCTGCATGTGTGTGTGTGTGTGTATGTATGTATGTATATATATATATATATATGTATGTATGTATGTATGGAGTTATGTATGTATAAATATATATACACACACACACTTGTATATGTATACATACAGACAGCCAGACAGACAGACACAAGACTACGACGCGGTTGAAGGACGCTCTGGCTCTGGATGCTTCAGTCAAAGGGGAAAAGGAGGGACCCTTAAAGGGGACCCCTACCCTATAATGGGCTATATAATGGGTATATAATAGCTATATTAAGGGTATATACCTAGGGGTCCTTTTTAAGGGTCCCTCCTTTTACCCTTGGATTCAGTTTGCCGGAATCCTATCACGGAAAGCTGGAAAACGGAAGGTTTCAGAAACTTAGGCTGCCTTTTTCCGCTTGTCTCTACCATGATAATGGCCCTTCAATTTTGGGATCCATTCTGGGATCCCATTGTCCTAAAATTTCAGGTAACGACATCGAAATGAAGCTGGACCTCGGCCCTTCTCCCGCAAGGTTTCGGTGGAAAGTTCAACTTCCTCTACATCCCGCTGGACAAGGGCACCATGGCGAACGTGGGATATGCTTTCGTGAACTTCATTGACAAGGCCCGATACGACTGAACGGGGGGGGTCACGCCCGCCCTGGACTGGAATCACGGATCAAGGTTGGGGAGTATGGGGTCCGAACCGTCACACTGAATCTGGGGCCCTCCATACACTAAAGTGCAAGGCCTGCAGGCACTCCACCCTGACTTTGGGGCTTTCTGGAGGGTACGAGACAGGTCTAAGTGGATGTATACCACTTTCTTGCGCTGTTCCCTAGCCTTTGTGAGCCCTACTCTTTCCTCTTTTTAAAACCCTAAACGGGTTTAGGGTGCAGTCTTCGCCAGAGGAGTGGGCCGCGAGCTGCATGGAAGCATTCCAGGAGCTTCCAGTCTTTGCGCATCAGGGCAGGTCGTTCGGCGACATCTTGGGATGAGTAGACGGGTGTTTCCGAATATTAGGGGTAATTAATTTGGGATCCTTATAATAAGGATCTTACCATTGAGGGTACTATCTTAGTTGTATCTAATTTGGGGTCCTTATAATAAGGATCTTACCATTGAGGGTACTATCTCAGGGTCCCCTATTTTGAGAAAGTCCCATCTTGGGATCAGCAGAAGTGCTTCAGCAAATTCAAAGATGACCGAGAGAACCCCATGAAGCCGTGTAACTAACAACTTCAAATGTCTCATAAAGAACACTGTCCCAGTCACCACTCCAGTTTGGGGCCCCTAGCTGCTTTTCGATGCGGGGAAAGAACTGAATAAGGATGTTGCTCGTCGGTTCATCAGTCCGGGCAAAAGCCACCCCGAACTTTGCAATGATCATCGATGATCCCCAGTGCCTCAACTTCTAAGCCAACGTGTTGATGTCTTTGGCAGGAGCATCGCTTCAAGCGCCACCGCAAAACCTCGGGCAAGATCGCAGCGGGCTCACTTCAGTGATGGGCTTTAGAAAGTAGATCCCCTAATTTGGGGCCTTATACTACTAAGGGTACTTTATAGGAGCACCCATTAAGGGATCTACTTTTTGAGTCATGCTACCGGGAAGAGCTTAGCGGAGCAGTTGTAGGGCAGAACCCAACTCTGCAGCAACCCCTCCGCCGAAAACAGCAAGCTCAAACTGAAGCCCTAACCTAGCAGTAGAGTAGGTAACCTTTAACCTTTTTTAGGTAGTGTAGTCCCTATATAATCCCTATACAGCCAAAAAGGTTAACCTTTAGTTCCCCATGCTACCCGACAAGTAGGCTAAACTTACCCTGCACATGAAGCCATCAACACTAGAGCCCCTCATGGGTGGTTATAAGTGGGGTTATAGGTCCTTTGAGTTATAGATTACAGCTATCCTAATTTACACTAACTAACCATGAACCTCCAAGTCTGGCACACCGAGATCAAGTGAGCAGTAGCAGGCTCCTAGCATTGGAGTCGGAAGCATGACCAAGTAGGGCTTACCTTAACCCTGAATAACCTACCCGTTTAGGATTCCTTATTATGGCTTCCTTATACAGGTCCTTAAAAAGGTGTGTTATTCCGAATTAAGGTAGGGTTTAGGGAGTATTATCCAATATTCAATACGGTTCCTAACTATAACTATGCCAGCAGGATATACCCGACAAACCGAGTAGAATCAGTTCAGCCCATAAGAGGACTATCACGTACACCCACACTATAAAAGATAGTCCCGCATGAAAGGTCCCTGGATTACATAGCTCCCTAAACACTCAACCCTATAGACCCTAAACCCTAAACCCTACTCCACAATGAGGCCTCCGTTTCGGCGGCCCATTTGCAGGGCCTGGAGGCGAACTTAGCGCACTATGCGCCTCGGTGGGACAGTAGGCGGCTTAGGGGTGCTTCAGGCTTCGGTATGTGGGAGTTTCCGAAAATAGGGGACCCTAATAACAATATAGTACCCTAAATAGTAGGGTCCTTATTATAAGGGCCCCCCAAAATGAGGTACCCACATCGTCTCCTTAGGAATTATCGTTTTGTTCATATAAAACCCAAGAGAATATTAAACACCTGATTTTTGTTATGGTTCTAAGGGGGGTGTAGTTTCGGGTTGAGGGTTTGAGACGGATTTCAGCTGCTTCGATGTCAGTTGGTGAGGTTAGAGTCTTTGGCTGTTGGGGCTTGGGGGTCTTGGGGTTTGGGGGTTGGGATTGAGGCTTAGAGATGTTTGAGGATGGATTGGGGTTTAGGACGTTTAGGGTTTATGGGATGTTGTGCTTTCTACTGTTGCGTTGTGTCTGTGGAGGAGCAGACGAAGTGCTGCCCTGAAGTCCTGAAACGTGCGCCCTAAACTCCCGTAAACGTAGAAAGCCCCAACGCCCCAGAGAGCTGAGAGCTGACTTCCGCCTTGCGGTGGCGGCCCAGAAGATCCCAGAAGCCACAGAAGCACTTTAGGGTTTAGGGAGTTGGGCTTAGGGTTTAGGGTTTCAACCAGGCATAGGGTTTAGGGAGTGGGGGAGCCTACCGGGTTTAATGATATGGAACTCTCGAAAAGCTCTGCTTTGGCCCTGGGCTGAGACCAGGAGAGAGCTGTGGTCAATACCGCCAAGCTGAAACAACGGCGGCCGGTGGTCATTGCCTCTCGGGTAGAAAGCAGGCTCGTTTAGCAGCTACGATCCTGTAAAGGCATATCCCCAAACCCTAAGCCCTGCAACCCCTGCTCAGTCCGGGATAGTCCCAGCAGCGGAAAAAAGGCGCCCAACAATGGTCCTTCCTAACGTACTGACGAAAACTCGTGGATCTTCATGGGTTTACCTTATGACGGCTTGGAGCTTATAGGAGAATCTGGAGGCTTTGTAAAGACTGAACCACATATTAAATACTAATCTCTAAGGCCAGCTAGATATACCCTGCAAACCCTGATATAACACCTGCTCTGACCGCGAAAGATAAGCCGTGGGTTTTTCTTTTCTGCCAGGGCATTGTTCCAATGTATCGTCGTGTCCCTCACTCTGTGCAAGAAAGCGTTCGGATTTTTCGTGTGCTCCGATCTGAAAGTCTTCCATGAAACTGCAGTCAACGTGTTCATGCTGCCTGACTCCTGGAACTCCGTTCGGGCCAGCCATCTACGATAAAACTCAGCAATCGCTGCTTGCTGCATGCAATTCCGCAGAGCAGCACTGCCGACATGCCCGTCGTTTGGCTGATCGTCGTGCTACGAAGGTTTTGCCTCGTAACCGTTGACTCGTTCGAGGTGCCGTCTCATTCCAGGTGTAGCTGGAGTCTGTTTTTTCGTGCGGTTGAGAGACGCGTAGTTGCCAAAATTAGGGTCCCTATTTGGGTACCCTAAATGGTAGGTGCCGTATTATATTTGGGACCCAAAAAAAGGGACTTAATTTTGACAACAACCCGGATATTGAGAGCTTGCCGTGGTCCGTGGCGTCGACTCAAGAATGAAACTGAAGATCCATACAGAACACTTCGCCCAAAGCCCTCAAGCCGTGAGCACTGGCCCTGAGCCTTCCGCACCAGCTGCTTCCGACGCATACTTGGAGGGTCGGGGGGCTTAGTAAGCAGGTAGTAAGTAGACTTATAAGTACCCTAAAAGGGACCCTAATTGGGGTTATGGTACTTGCAAGTCCTTAAAGTAACCAGTTACTAAGTCCCCCGACCCTCCAAGTAAGGCCAACATCTCCTCCAGCTTGGCAGCAGCGCTGGATTGAGGAGCGGGGGCGTTACTTTTGTGGTATTTCTCATGTTTACTCTTATTGTTTTTACTGTTATTGTATTGATTAGTACTAGTATTTTGTCATTGTTATTGTGTTTTTGCTCTCGAAACATAGGTTCATTCTTGTCGAGGGGCCTTGATAGTTAATAGGGTTCCTTGAAAATGGGCCTATAAAGGGTTACTATAAACCTCTTATAATATAGGGGCCTAAATATACCAATGCCATTTTGGTGGTTTCGTTATTGTAATTATTGTCATAAAGAGCCCTAAACCCCAATTCTAATTCTTAAGGTCCGAAAAAGGAAGCCGCCAGACCTAACTCCCCAAGCCTTAACCTCCCAATCTTACAGTTTTCCAGAGAGCCCAATACCCCTTAATTAAGGAATACACCTTAAACTATAAGGGAGTGTATATAATTATATAATGATATTAAGTTAATTATATTCCTTAATTAAGGGGTATTGGGCTCTCTGGGTTTTGGGCCCTTTAGTCCTAAGCTCTAACTTAACCCTGCATAACCTACCTTGTTAGGGTTCCTGATTATAGACACTACATCCCCAAACCCTAAACCCCCAAACCCTGAACCCTGAACCCCTAAACCCTATTCCCAGCTGACTCTCGTCACGTGAAAGCCCTGCTGCCTAGGCTTTGTTCCTGCTGCATCGTTCGCGCAGCACAGAAAGAAGCCATTGTTCTTTAAAACAAAAACCCTAAACCCTAAGCCTTAAACCCCCAAACCCTAAACCCTAAAACCCTAAAACCCTAAACCCTAAGCCCCAAACTTCAGGGCTCCGACCATGGTTCGGTGAACCAATGCTTCTGACCAAGGCAGGTGGGCAATGGGGGCGTTTAACCGTCCAATCTGTATACATATATATATATATATATATACATGTTTATGTATGTATGCATGTATGTATGTATAGCATATGGGTATACTTTACACACATGTTTATACACACACATGTATGTAATACAAAACCGCCGCCGCCGTCCTGCTGCGTTAACCGCGCCACGACCCCACTCGCAAAAGAAAGTCCGGGCTTTGGGGCTTCATGCCGAATCGAAGGGTCAAACGCCAAATCTAAAAAGGCTCTTTGTTTGTTGTTTTCCCTGGTTCTAAAGGTGGTATTGCAATGACGACGATTGATCATAAAGAAAGCAGAGAATGCGGAACCCGAGGTCTGATACCGGGCGAATTGCTGTTAGTTGCCTCACTTATGCATCTTCTGCACCAGTCGATTGTCTCTTCTTGTACGGGTATATATGCTCCGCTAGCGGGCTCTCCCTGTCTGCTGCCTGCCTGCCTGCCGGTCTCACTCGATACATGTATGTTTATATTACATGTATGTACATATACATATATGTGTGTGTGTATGTACGTATGTACTTATGTATGTATATATACAGGTGTTCATATATGCATGTAGATAGGGAGAGAGGGAGCACATGACTTAGGGAGCCAGCCTGTGAGCGCTAGGAAGTTTGTTAATTGTTTTACTTGATGTGACCAACTCATGTGAGCCTTGGTGAGCCACGGTTCAGCAGAGGCAACCTTTTCATGGCAGTTACGCACCCTTCCACTGAGCTTCGCCCCGAAGAGGCCAAAGCAAGGTTCTTCAAGTGCCCGACGCTGTTTGTCTAGTATAAAGCTTCAACCTAGCTGGCCTGAGCAAGTGGGTCACAGGTGCGCAACTTCGCACTCCTTTTGGCCTGGCAAGCTGCCTGAGTCTTCATAGGACCTGGCGCGTTTTG